GAATTTCTCCTCATTTTATCTTGGAAATAAATGGATAGCTGATTATTAAGAAGATGCATTTTAATTTTTCTAATTCTCAGACCGACAGCTGAAACACACACACATCTGAAACTCTGCATTTATTATAAACACACACACACATCATGCAGAAACTGATCTCTGTTATATTTGTGTCTGTAAAAATAACGAGTTGACGAGGAAAACTGTTAAAGCGTCTGAGGACAGACAGTGTGTGTGTGTGTGTGTGTTGGCACTGAGCTCCTTATGTAATATCTCAGCATAATTAATGTGCGCTCATTATATTGTGAGCGGCGGACAGCAATTATACAGCAGACAAACGGCCTCTGTTCATCACTCACAGCGCTTATTAATAATCATATTACTGCATCTACTCTATATACGTTTAAATACACACACATTCACTCACTCTCTCTCTTTCTCACACACACACATTTATTTTGGAATTTCCACCCAGAATGTCAATAACACTCATTAATAAATCCATCATCTGGAAGATCAGATCAGTTCTAGATGAATGTGCAGTTCTGCCTGATTATATAGATAATTAACATAAATAATCCTGAGCGTTCTGTCACGGTTTTCTCAAAGTTATGATCAAACGTTCTTCTAGTAACATTAATAAAATGTTCCTCAATCATCTGGTCTTTAATAATGTTCTCAAAACATCAGCGTGAAAACATCATGGAACTTTTTTATCATTGTGACGTTTTTAAATGTTTCTGGTTTCGGAACGTTCAGATTCAAAAGTAACGTTCCATAATGTGTGAAGAACGATACAGTGTCACTGTTCCCGTAACGTTCACAGAAGCAAGAAAAACTGGACGCTTGAAATCATTTAATGGGAACTTGGACAGGAAACATGTCCTGAATTTGGAAATGTCTCGATTTGAATGAGTGTGTGTGTGTGGCCGTACAGGATTTTCTGCTCTGTAAACTTGGGCAAAACATTGTACTCACTCCCTCATCTGTGATGGTGATGGTGATGTGTGTGTGTGTGTGTGTGTGTTGGCCTCAGGTGTCCCTGAAACACAGGAGATTCCGATGATGTTTTTCACGACAATCAGGAAGTAATATGTTTTGCCAACTGAGTTCCTTTTAATAATGATCTCAAAACTTCAGCAGAAAACCAGTATTTATCCATCGCTCATGGAATGTTTCTTCTGGAATGTTTCAGTTGATGTGTGTTTTGAAATGTAACAGTTTTTTAATGTTTCAGAACGTTCAGATTCAAAAGTAACGTTCCATAATGGAATTTTCAGTGTTCACATAATCAACATAAACAGTCTTAAAACATGTGGTCAATGTAAAGTCAGTGGTGAGTGTTTGACTATTGGATTGAAATGATCTGACCTTTGACCTCTGATGATCCCACCTCCTGCATGTCCATGTGAACTGCAGCTGTTCGCAGGTGATGTCATCCGATGAACTCCCGAACACTGGAACGAATCTTTAATGATTGACGTGTTTTTCACACACTGATTAAAGATACAGCAGATGTGTGTTTTGTGTGTTTGTCAAGGATGAGACACACACCTGTTTAAAAAACCAAGCCCAAAGTGTTGATAATAAGCGGACTTGGCAACTCCGCGGATCCTCTAATCCTCGGCTCTTTGTCCGGGGCTTTATGCGGATCCGCTCGGATTTACCCACGTGCTCCGGAGGCTGAGCGTTTCCACGGCGACCGGAAGCTGATGCACTGATGCTGACGACAGCAGACGCTGACTTACTGTTCACCACACATCAGCACTTTCAGAGTACACACACACACACACACAAAGGTGCTAGACTAGAGCATCATGCTGTGTGACTGTGTCCGTCTGTGTGTCTGTCTGTATAAGTGTGTGTGTGTCTATGTGAGTGATTAAGTGTGTGTGTGTGTGTGTGTGTGTGTGTGTCTGACATTCTAAATAAACAGTTTTCAACAGAAAGGGACATATCATATAATTATTCTGGATTATTAAATGACTCAGGATGTGTTTGTCAGCAGGCCCAAAAATAGACATCAGAGAAAAACAATGCAATTAAATAATGCAACTAACCGTATAATGAATCACGAGAGCTAAAGATAACCAACTCAACGATTCAGACGGGAGGAGAAAACACGTCTGTGTTTATAACCGAGAAACTAGAAAACAAGCCTGAGTGGAAATAATATTTGTAATTGTTGTAATATTAAATGTAATAATAAATTCCAGTAATTATTTTTAAGAACATTTTAGTGTCATAAACTGTTGATAGTGTGTGTTACGGCTTCCAATCAAATCTGGTTTCAAAGCAAAACCAATTGAGAACCGAGTTATTTAACTATAAAGTTTCTGTTCATTATAAATCACTGGGATAGTTGACTCTGGTGGGCGTGGCCTTGGACGACAACATGGCCAGTGCATTATGGGTAATGAAGTTTTCAATCTATTTTTGCAAAACGGCCTTTTCTCTAGTCAGGAGCACCAATATAGATAGTCTTCACCTTTCTACTGTATACAGGCAGTCAAGTTTTATTAAAAGCCCATGTACTCCATCTGACACGCATACACCTGTAATATTCAATAACTTATAATCATTATTATGCTATAAAAACATTATTTCTGAACATTCAAAAAAACTACATTTCTTGGTTGTGTGAACGTTAAGATGGTTACATTAAAGGAACATTCTGTTGTTTCATTCTTCAAACATTATGGATGTATAAATAACGTTTTTGTGCTAACCTTCTGAGAACATTAATGAGGAACGTTTGTTTCATGACTTCGAGAAAGCCTTGGCAGAGGAGAGCGCTAGTGCTGACTGTGAGAAGAAAGCGTCGGTTTCTATTGTTCAAGTGGCCCGTGAAACACGAGCCAATCACACCGGCCGCATTAGTGGACAGAGAACAGTGGAATCCCCCAGACAGCCAATCAGAACAGACGGAATCCCCAATGGGCCAATCAGCACGGACCAATCACACGTCTCAATGACCTGAACAAAGCTGGAGCTGATTAACAAAACAAACATTTACTCATAAACACAAAAACAAGCAAATGTCCATATAGCTACAAAGTCAAGCCGAAACATTATCATTGTTCAAGTAAGTGATTTTGTAAAGGCAGCGTAGACGTGTCTCAACGACAGTTTATAAAAATAATACAATGTCCAGAAGAATATGATCATATTCCATTCGTTGATGAATGAGATTTCCATAGCTCGCGGTCCCTGTGGTGCAGCTGCCTCACAGGACACTGGGCCCCCTGGCGCAGCTCTACCACAGAGCAGTGGGTCCCCTGACGGAGCTGCGTGGGAGGGAGGGACTCTCAGAGGATCTCCAGGGACCATCTCTGATTCATTTTGTTTGGGTTGAATTCATTGAGAATAATCTGGCTTTTGTCAAACTGTTGGCCTCCTGTAGAGAGAGGAAGAGAGAGAATATTTGTACATGTGCATTGCATGATTTCCGCTATAATTTTACTAATGCTTGTTGAGTGAATCTTATTAAAATTTACAGAGCTTTACATCTCAAATTTTACCAGATTTCAATTTATTTTTGTGCACACTTTGAAACAGCTAATGATGTATAATTTACATGACAATTAGAGATAATTAGAGTGGATTTTATTTGCACTGTAAAAGAAATGTTTTAACTCAGTGTTTCTGACAGCACAAATACCAAAACACTCTTAAATCAAGATGCATATACTGTAGAAGCAAAATGACTTTTATTAAGATGTGAAAATGCATCAAAATGAAGTGAATTAGTGTTTAAAACAAGAACAAATATCTGACAATTGAGTCCCGTTTTATTTTTTAAATAAGTTTATATTTCTGACTCCATTGTCAGATATTTGTTCTTGTTTTAAACTCAAACTCACTTCATTTTGATGCTTTTTCACATACCAATAGTTCTATAGTATATCTTGATTTAAGAATGTCTAGATATTGAGATAATTGCACCGTTTTTATTATTTTTTGATAAAAAGTTATGATTTTTATCATAGTATTACAATTTAAATATGACTGTCTTTTTCCATGAAGCGCTTAACTGACAATTGTCAATCATAATGGCAATATAAATCATTTCCTTTATGCAAAATCTATGAATTATGAATGAGTTAAATGTTTAATGATTTGTAGTTAGGTTAGTTTATCTCATTGTTCATTAATTGGCGAGCCGCCTGTCACCTGTCCGTCTACACACGTGAAGCTGAATAAGAGCATCTGCCGTATGAATATTAATAACTGGCTCTGTGTGTATCCAGCAGGTGGCGCTACACGCTCATCTACTCAATCCTCTGTTGATGCAAACAGACACATTTCTGCGGTTGGCATAATTCATGTGGATTTATGAGACACTATATTAAGAGTAATCACTTCCAGCGGACTAAACTCACTAGAGTCGTTTAAGGAAGCGGCATACGTTAAATGATTAATGCCATAAATCACACGGTGTCTCTGTTGAAAGAATGTAAACAACTTAAACCTGGTTACCACAGAAAATACTTTACATTCTCGGTTTGTAAAAACAAAGGTGTTTTCAGTAAAGCTCTTTCAGTGGAAGGTTATGAGAAACAGGTTCAGCTCAAACACAACACACACACACTAGTGGAAAACGTTTAACTAAACATTTACATTTAAACGTTGGCTTGGGGATAAACTGAATTGAGTTAAAGTTGAAGCACTAAAACTATTACCTGGATACTAAAATGAACAAAAACTGAAGTAAATAAACGAATAAAATGATAAAAGCATATGGTGAAATGATTAAATGAACATGGAACTAAAAGTAAAAGCTTTAATTCGGATTTAATAAAAACGGAATACAAGCAAAATAACACAGAATGAAGTATATTTGTCTCGTTTTCCAGTACAGATAAATCAAGATACATTTACTGGAGAAGCATAGTAAGAGAGTCTGTGTTTAAAACAAGAACAAATATCTGCTAATAGAGTCAGCAAAATAAACTCAAGACTCTATTGACAGATATTTGTTCTTGTTTTAAACACAAACTCACTTCATTTTGATGCATTTTTCACATTTTAATATCGTCAGTCATTTTGCTTCTCCAGTAAAGGCAAAACGAGAGAGAAACACTGAGTTAAAACATCATTTTTACAAAGTGAATGTTGAAATCAGTCCAGATCGATCTGTGTGAGAGTGGAGCGCTCTCTGACCTTTGACCTCCAGCACGAGGTTGGGTGCGCTGTGACTGCGGATGACCCCGTCGCTCGTGATGTTCCAGATCTGATGAGGTTTGCCGAACTCTGACGACAGAACCGCTCGAGCGCCGGGCATCAGAACACCAGAACCCACATCCACACAGCAGTCCAGCAGCCACTGACACACACACACACTTTATCAGCAGCACTGACATAATCACTAAGAACTAATATAATGATGCTATCAGATGGTTATACTATGGTACCTAAAATTACAAATGGCGCTATATATATATATATGTACAGTAAAACCACAATTTATTCAGACACCTTCAACATATATATCTACCTTGCACTGCAAGCGACCGTCCTCCTGATAGGCCCAGATCTGGTCGGCTCCGCCCCCCTCCTCACTCCCCTGGATACGCATCAGTTTGATGTCATCGAGTGACCCTTTGACTGACATCATAAGCCCCGCCTCTTCATTACGCAAGCGGAACAGCGGTTGCTTCTGAAAGGGAGAAACTTTGTGAGTGTGTCTACATCAAAACACACATTATTCACACACCAGATTTACTTCTGATGTTGTTTCAATAGTGTGATCAGCTCACTTCTGTAAGTGAGGAGAGCAGAATAAAGTAAACTGGGACATATTACACACAAATATTCTTCATACAGCGACTACCAGCGACATTAATAACAATTTGGGACCAGAAATGATTTGGACACTTTGAGCTGATGATGTTCTGCTGAAGTGTGTTTTCTGTCAATTTAACAGCTGACAGATATTCAACATAATTCATGTGTGAGAGTCCAACAGAAGGACGGACAAAACCAGTCAAATATCCACTGATCTGAGAACTGAGTTCTGCTCATGTTTATCTCCACTTTATAAACTATAGATGATGTGAGAAATGTTGAAGGGGTCTATATGCAACACTTTTCTAGTCCCGCCCCCTAGTGTGTCATCACTGCAGTGGGCGGAGCCTCTCACCTGCATGAGTGGGCGGAGCGATCCGATTCGACGCCAGGAGGAGAGTTTGGGCCAATCAGGAACAGCGCCGGGCTTCAGCAGGAACTGAGAACCTCTGAAGTTACTGGCCTCGTACAGGACCCACCTGTCAATCAACACACACACACACACACACACAGGCTCAAACACACACGTTTGCTAACGACACACACAGTATGTCCGTCTCTAAGCTCACACTCGTTTATGTTGAGTTTGTGGTCGGTTCAGGCTAAATATACTGCAGTCCTCAGACGCTCTCTCTTTTATGGAAAGAATGTGGGAATTGTGGGAAAAGTTTGTAGCTCTTAACGAGTCTGACGTCTTCACTGCTCAAGTGAATGTTAGAGCTTGACATTAACATGTTGCGAACCTAAATGCACAATACACACCACTAAAAAACATGATAACTCACAAATATCAACTGTAAACACTGTAAACACAAGTACATTTAGCAAGAAACACCATTTCAAGATTTCATGTTTAATTCACTGTGTCACTTTTGCATTGTAGCTGTTTAGCAAGTCCTTTCCGAGAGGATAGTTGTGTGACGTTGCAGATCCACAGGAGTGTGTTAGATGTCACACACGCCTGAAGACTTTCCACTCGCTGAATATGTTTAGAGACTCGATAACTGACAGGCTTCCTGCTCGTGTGCAGGTCAGACGTATATAAACACTTAATCACTGTGTTCATGGAAACCAGTAAACATGCCAATATGAGTGGAGACACACACACACACACGTTCAGAAACCACTGGACAGAGCGAGACAGGGTGGAACCGAAGGCAGCAGTCTCAGTGTTTTTAAAGTGAAGCAAAAAAACTAAAGCTAGTGCTTGTGTGTGTGTGTGTGTGTGTGTGTGTGAGAGAGAGAGACTCACATGCCGCCCTTCACCAGTACAGAGGAGACTCTGCTCCAGCTCTCCGTCAGCTGCAGGTTCACGGAGCTCGACTTCAGTAACGTTCTCCTTCCTCTGAGTCCAGGACGCTCGAACAGAACGATAGACGGCACAGAAAACTCCTGACACACACAGAGGAACACAGACTTACTATTCCAGCAACATTTCAAATATTAAAGATGGCCTATTATGGGTCGTGATGATGTTGTTTCTTTTCTAGAACAGGTTTTCCTGCTTGAATGTTGATTATTCTCCTCATATTCTCCATTGTTGCGGCTCCTCTCTTCCCAGTCGGTCAGTAACGCTCTGTTTACTTCCTGTCTCTATGAAGCCCCTCCTTCTGAAAGCACACTGTGCTCTGATTGGTTGGCTGGATCGGTGTGTTGTGATTGGTCGTGTGTGTTTGGGAAATGTCCCGCCCCTTTCCATAACCGCCAGTTTAACACACAACTAACTAACTCAACCAGGCCCCGCCCCTTTATTCTGCGCATTAATTATTATAATGAGGAATCTTGTGACGTGTTCGTTCCCCAAACTCAAGACTAACAATGGAGGCGTTTGAGGAGTTCAGAAACACTGATATAGAGAAGAACTGGAGCTTTTTTAATGCTCAAACAGCAACATCACACACACTATAGACAGATGTGCTCTTTCACTAAAATATGAATTTAGATGTGTTTCAGACTCACGTGTCCTGTGGGTTGGACAGACAGCACTGATGCGTCGGGGTGTGTGAAGCCCATCGTCCTCAGATCTGGATACACACCTTCTTCCAGAACACACTGATGCCCGGAGAAACCCTCACAGCCAAACGCCAGCCAGCTACACACACACACACACACACAGAGAGAGATGTTCATATGAGGGCCGAAAAACACACACACACACACACACACACACACACACACAGATGAACTAACCTTCCAGCACAGACCCTGCAGGAGCGCACGATGAACCCCTCAGGCATTGTGGGTAATGAGTCCTGCAGAAGCACAGACGTCCCGCCGAACCCCGCCTCCGGGAACAGCTCAAGCTGGAACAAAACAAGAGTAACCTGCGTTACTTTACCAATAACATTCACAATAACACAAATAATACAAGTTCTCTGAGCAAACCTGGAAGAGGCGGGAGTTTCCCGGACTGTCCTGAAACACAACGAGCGCAAACACATTAATATCAGTATACTCCACTTACAGTTAGAACATGAAATCAGAACATGTTCCTGCTCTTATAGTGACGACTCGTCATAAACACACATCATTATTAAACCAGCTCTTCAACTGTGTGTGTAGAGCTCTAATGTCTGATGGGACACACACACACACACACACACACACACACGTATAGTCTTTTACAGAGCTTTTATTTATTATATTTTCAATACTTTGCATTTAGAAATAAACTGGTAACTTGTTTCCAGTCCAAATATCAAACTTTTCCTAAATCAAGATGCATTTACTAAACTAACAAGAAATTATGACTCGTTTTTAGGGGGAATTAATAAAAATGAAGCGAGTTTTTGCTTAAAACAGGCAAAATGATCTGCAAACGGGGTCAGAAAAATATTTGTTTCTGTTTGAATGAAGATAATTCTTCAGACCCCACTGATCATTTGGGGTTTTTTAAGCATCGACTCAATTAATTTTGATTAATTAATGAAACGCTGAGTGAGAAAGCACTTCTGCAGTGTGTTGAGTGTGTTGAGTGTGTGTTGTTGAGTGTGTGTTGAGTGTGTATTAAAGGCACTTCAATGGCAAAGTTTTGCACTCTTCCTTCATGTCACACACTCTCAAGTGGCCGAGAGCAGAAGTGTGTGTGTGTGTGTGTGTGTGTGTGTGTTTGTAGAGGTCTGGAGTCCCTCACCAGAGTCACCGGGATCACACATGAGATCCGGCTGTCGGTCGCGCCCCAGTCCTCCGGGCTTCCGTAGAGACCCTTCTCCAGGACATACTGACGCCCACACAACCCGGCGCCCTCGAACGCAACCCAGCTGCAACACACACACACAAGGGGTTAAACACACACTCCCACCACAAATACACAAACTCCCACAATACTGACATTCTAGAGCCGAAAAGCCTGACAAATACAGACCTGCCTGTGTGTGTGCTTCATGCATGCATCTCTCTCACACACACACACACACACACACACACACACACACACACACACACACACACACATGCACACACACACTCTCTCTCTCACACGCACACACACACTCTCTCTCTCTCTCTCACACACACACACACACACTCTCTCTCTCCGTCTCTCTCTCACACACACACTCACACACACCAGTAATTACAGTGAACCACATGGATTGTGAAATGCGCAACACCATGTACACACACTCTCTCTCCGTCTCCACCTATTTCTAATTATTTGCATACATGCACTTCTTTTGTTGATCTTTTTTTCGCAGACGAAAAACTGTTCCTCCGAACGGCAGTCAGCCCGAGGCATGTGTGTGTGTGTGTGTGAGGGCGTTTGTGTCACGTGACCTGACACTGGCAGGTAATTCTGCACATAAACCTGTTCATTAGTTCTGTGGAAGCACTAGAGACACGTTTAATGGGATTCTATAGAAAACTCTATACTTTACTCCATTTTAAAGTATGTTTACGAGCTGTTTAATTCATAAATTGTATATAGAATTAAAAATGAATAATTATTGAATGAGTCCATAAAGTGCTAGAACCCCTAAAAGGTTCTATATATAAAGAGTGTGAAAAATGTATAAACGAATAATTAAATAAAATAGATAAATAAATGTTATAATGGGAAAATAAATAAAGAAGTAAATGACTTGATACAATAAATATGATTAATTTTTTATCAAATTTATTTGTGCATTATTTTTCCCTAAATTATTATGTTTTGCTTTTATTTTTAACATATTTTTTAATTCAATTAATTATTTTTTTAAATATTTATTTATTTAATTATGCATTCATTTATTTTTAGATAAAGCATTTTGAGAGGTGTTTTGACAATTCAGAGCCACCGAATGACGAATATGAAAAAACGCATATGAATATTTCTGGCTCCGAGTGCAATGACCTTTACAGACTGGACACACACACACACACACTTCTGTTTTGATGTTTTTAGCATCTCTATTGCCTGAATAAACTCTAAGAGAGACTCACACTCCTGCCAGGACCTCGATGGAGCGTGTGTGTGGGCCGTAGTGTGTGTCCGACGCGTCTTCCAGCGGCTCCAGGAGCTCCATACTGACGCCTCGCTCTGAAAAGTCCGGCTCACTAAACATCTTCACATGAGGGGAAGAGAAATCCTGCAAAACAAGCCGATTCAAAGCATTTACAGTCGTCTGTTCCCACTGGAGGACTGTCTCGTGTCGGAAAGGTGAAGGCTGGTGTTTCCTGGCATTGTGATCCAGAGCACACACACTGCAGGTATGCGACGGGGATTGTGTAACGCATAACACAACCTACATTAAAGAATACCACTGCTAAAAATGAAACGCTCCTGTCTTGGTATCCAGCACAAATATCCACACATTCTTAAATCAAGATACATTTACTGGAGAAGCAAAACGAAGATATTGAGTCTTGTTTACGGAAAAATGCATCAAGTTTTTGCTTTATATTGTTTGGTCTGAGATGTTTGAAGATATTTGTTCTGTATTGTTATTTACATTTTTTCAGTAAACAAGACTTAAAATCTAAAGTCATTTTGCTTCCCCTGTAAATGTATCTTGATTTAAAAATGTGTCCAAGGTAAAAAAAAAAAAAAAACACGTTAATTTTCTAATAATCTCACCCTCATTTCCTCTCAGTGTCTGAAACGCTTCGTCTCTCTAAGCTCCGCCTCTCTGAGAGCTGCTCTGCTGTGATTGGTCAGAAACGCTCATTATCATATCTGACTCTCAGCTCTTGATCACAGTGATACGAACAGTAACGATGGCATGGGTTTCACCGTAGCGTCTTCTCGACACGAGCCCAACTCTCCCAGTCTCAGATACACTACAGTGTTTCAGGGCGGAGCTAAGAGACGCTGCTCAGCCAATCAGGACCAGAGGCGGGGATTATGCAAATTAGCTACATTGCGACAGAAAGTGAGACTGGAAGTACTGACGACTCGTTTCTGGCAGTTGAAAATCACTTCTTTCTTTTAGGAGACAATAACTTAATTTGATCTTTGAAACTTTGCAGCGCTTTTACGTTCACACACGGCTCGATTACACACTGCATGAAAGGGAACGTTCCAAAAAAAAGCATATTTCATTAGTTTTAGTTAATGATAATGAAGCTTCCTCTAGTGAAGAGACTCACCATGAAGACGGGCCTCAGCGAGAGCAGCTTCTGCCCCGTCCCGCCCCAGTCTCTCCAGTCTAAATACTCTCCTTCCTCCAGGACGAACTGGTGCCCGTCGAAACCCTCGTGCTCGTATCCAACCCACCTGAGACGAGTCAGGAGTAAAGCACTCATCAAATGTGTAACCCGGTCCAAAAAATCTTACGTTTTTTATTTTTTTAGAACTTTCTACTTCATTGGAATGGTCCGAAACTTGGTACAGGTTTTGTCACACACACATAAATCATGGCCATGATGTGAACCGGTTTAATGGTCCTGTACCAATATTCACACTGGTGCTCCTCGCAATAGATATCCATAATAAAGGCTAGATGTCTCGTCCACGCTGCTGGCCAATGGAGGACCACGTCCACACTGGCGGCCATCTTGCCACAGTCAGCTCGCTCACTCGTAACATTGTGTTTTAATGGTGCGTGTACCATAACTCAATTTTCTACCGATTTTCAAATGGTTTGGTTTGTTATAAACATCAAAGATGTAGGTATGACACTGCATACTAATGAATAATAAGTGTATAAATAAATAATCATGCAGAATTATAGGCACGTTAATAACGTTTGTAAGAAACCAAACTTCAAGATTTCAACGAGATAAGAGTATTTGTGTTCGACGATAGAGACTTTGTCGTAAGACATCTATGCTCCTCGCAGTTAGAAACGGCACACTGATTAAATAAAACACATTATCAAACTAAAATATCGTACATTCATTTCATTGACGCACGCGAAGAGCCGCATGTTTGTGTGAAAACTCACAGGCCTCCGAGGATCCTCAGTGATTCCACACAGTTCAATCCGTGATGGTCCGGGTCGGAGAAGGAGAACACGTCTCCCTGCACCTCAACACAACGGCCCTCCAGACCGGCTTTCTCGTACAACACCGCCTGGAGGAGGCGAGATCAAAACACCACAGTCGAGCTTCTCCAAAATAACCCGTTAGTAATGGGATTGACGGCTCAGTCGGACTGAAGCTCGATCCCGAAGCACAAACAGCGGGAAACATTAACCCAATCACGTTTAACGTTCATGTAAACACTACATTCAGATTCATCGACCATCAATTGAAACACAAGTTGTGCATGTAAGCAGCCAATGTAACGCTGGAGAAGATACTGAGACTTTAACACACCTTCACTGCAGTCGGGTTCTCTACTTTCGGAAGGCCCTGTGAAAAAAGTAGATGTGAGCGGAGACACAGCATGAAGATGTGTGCGTAACGCGAGTGTGTGAAGGCGTACCATACGCAAGGGCCTCAAAGAGCCCACGATCGGCGACGGGAAACCCCAGTCCTCGGGATACGGATATTCTCCGGCCTCCATCACTGCCAGCAGTCCCTGGAAACCTGGATCACTGTAAACCAGCCACCTGTAGACGAGAAGCCACACCTGTCAATCATCAACCGGCCAATCGCAGAGCACCGCTGGCTCATCTGGACAAATGTTGCTGCTGGAAATCATTTTTGAAGAGCTGGTTAGAAACAATCTTTTATTTTGCTGCTCATATTCCACCCATATAACTTTAATCCATCATTCTGCTCTTTTCTTGACTCTTTTCTTTTTAATTCTCTTTTAACCGTCCTCAGCGAGTTCTGATTAATCAATATATCTGTATTTACACTATCTTTAATTTTAATCTTTATTGTGTTGGCTTGACAAGCTACAACCGCCAAACTTGTTGGCCTTCAGATTTACGATTCTCGTTAAACGGTCATTGGCTGCAGGCGCGAGATCTCTCGCTCGCTTACCTCTCTGCCGCCGTGCGCATGCGCGGTTATGAGCTTCACATCTGTCTTGCATGCACGCTCGCTCTAGATTTAAGGATATTTTAACGAATTTGCGGTGGCTCAACAGGTAGATCTATAGATAAACTCATCTTCATCTGGCATTTGACGGAGCGGGTTGACACTTCAGCGTGAGGAATCGGGGGCGTGGCGTGGTGGGAGAATTTGCTCAATTGCATTCAGTGTGAGAGTTGGCAGCCCTGTTAAAACATGTCAGCAAAATGCTAAACTCATGATATCAACGTGTTAAATAATGCTAACAACATGCTAATTCTGGCTGACAATATGTGTTTTAGTTTTTTTTAAATTTTTATACAAGGCTTTGTCAAGCCAGCATCCACAATTTTTTCCCAAACTTTTTCCAACAGAATAAACGTTTTCCCTACAGTCTGAGTGTTGGATTAGTGGCATCTGATAGTTTATATGGTGCTGTGTGACTAATGCCTCTGACTCAAACACCCCCATAAAGCATAACACACTTATGAATCACCAGGAATTTCATGATTGTGTTTTCAAAGCGACCTTCCATAACACTGCCACTCTTTCAACACACACACACATACTTACACTTTCTAAAGAAAATCAGAAAAGTGGTGTCAGGCAAATCATAGTAAGGTATTCTGGGTTGTTTTTAGCATGCTGCTATTAGGATGATTTCGGAGGTATTCTTTTTCCTTTACAAAGCATCACAAAGAGAAAGTGAATCATAACACACAGAAGATAGTCAAGAGCTTCAACTTGACCACACATACACACCCAACAACAGTGTCCAAACACACACGCCATAAGCGTTCAAGGTCTGAGCAGGGCGTGTTTGTGCACTTACAGACCACTGTGGACTTTGATAGAGCCGGTGTCCTGAGGAAGGCTGAAACTGCCCACTTCCTCTGTGATATCCACATACTCAAAGCTTCTGCCCATGCCAGCGGGCTCGGTGAACAGCTCGATCCGGGGAGGAGTGTAGTCCTACACATACAGAAAAACACAGCACACACTCCAGTTACTTTTAGCACTTCACAATGTTTTAAAGAAGATACTCTTGAGGTTACCTACTCTAATAGCCAGACGAATTGAGCCAATGACCATAGGTGTTTCTTTGCCCTCTTCCGCCCATTGATTGGGCAGTTCGTTAACGATTTCCTCTTCCAGAGCGATGCATCGTCCCTCAAACCCTGGTTTCTCATACAGTATCCAACTGCAATAGGCCATAGTGCACAATTAAATCTAAACTACTGAAAGGCACATCATCGAGCACTATCCGTATTTTCTGCTTACCATCCTCTGACCACTTTCACTGATATGACACCGGACAGTTGCATGTGTGTAGCATCAGGTTGGTCCCTGAAGAAGTCAAAAGACTGACCGCTGAACTGATGTTGCTCAAATATCACAATCTGACGGAAACAAGACACATTTAATTATCCCAGCACTTTATGAATCTAACTCTCTGTATGGGGGCGTTTTGAGTTATTTGCCGACTGGTACAACAAGTCTCAGTTGATGTACATATTTAAAGCATAAATGAAATTCCAAAAAACGTGGCTCTTGTTATGCAAACATAACAAGGCAAGCAGCTTCTGATATTTGAAAATCTTTTAGGTCATGACTTTGAAATGTTGGCAAACCTTTGCAGGACGCCGATGGATTCCACGAGCAGTTGGAATCTGAAAAGTAAAACACCATGGCCCTTTGTGGTTAGGAGAATAATGCAGGTGATTGATTTGAAAGACAGTCAAAAATATGATGCAATGATGTCCCAAAGATTTTACCCCTTTGAACATGTTAAAACTTAAAATCGGTTGTCATGTACTGGCGTGCAGTTCTCTGCAGCTACGAACAAATACATTTCTGGGATTTACAAAGAAAACAGACATTGGTGATGGACACATACATTTGGGAGTTCTCTCTGAGGGATTTGGGCTTCTGGAACTTGAGGTGGAATCGTAACATCTTGGGTTTTCCCGTCAGCTACGTCAACAGCCGTATTCACATCCACTAGACCAGTTCTGGAAGCCCTTTCTCTAGCCACCTAACCAACCAAATACACACAAACACTCAAATATGATGCAGGTTTTACACTATGAGAAACACTAGCTGGGTATATGAATATATAAAAGCGTGGTGTGATGAATGAATAAATGAGGGATGGCCGACCGTATTTGATGATCGAGTGGTTTCAGGCTCCTTTGGAAGAAATTTGTCCAGGAAACTAGGCATCTTGATGTCTTCAAAGGAAGGAAACGGTGGAGGAGCACTAGCATCTGTTTTCAGGTCAGGCATCAGGGTTGGTACATCAGGTTGAAGAATAACATCAGAACCAATCTGGATAGTGCTGAGAAGTGGTGGTGTTTTAGTGTCTGTTAACATGGTGACTTGGTCAGGTGTCTGGGTAGGTCCATCAACCTTAGTAGGTTTTAGAACAACCTGGGAAGTAGTCTGGTTACCACTGGGATGCAAAAGTGCATTAGAGTCTGTTAATATAGTAACTGTGGGATCTTTTAAAGTTGTTTTGAGGTCAGGTGTCATTGTAGGTCCATCAGACTGGGTACAACTAGGTTTAGGAGGATAATTAGTGTCTGTTATCACTGTGACCTGAGGGTTTAATGAAGTCGTTTTCAAGTCAGGTGTTTGCATAGGTCCATCTTCCTTAGTAGGTTTTAGAACAACCTGGGAACCAGTCTGGGTATCACTGAGAGGTGCATTAGAGTCTGATAACATAGTAAGTGTGGGATCTCTCAAAGTTGATTTGAGGTCAGGTGTCATGATAGGTCCATCATTCTTGGTGTGTTTTAGAACAACCTGCGAACCAGACTGGCTACAACCAGGTGGAGAAGGAGAATTAGTGTCCGTTAACTTTGTGACCTGGGGGTCTAAGTCAGGTGTTTGCGTAAGTCCATCTTCCTCAGTAGGTTTCAGAACAACCTGGGTCTTGGTATCACTGGAAGGTATATTAGTGTCTATTACTGAAGTGACTGTTTGGTCCCTTGAAGTTGTTTTGAGGTCAGGAATCATGGCAGGCACAACATCTTTGCTGGGTTTGAGAATATCCTTAGAACCAGACGGGGTAGAGTGGCCATCGTTATTTGCAAGGACTTTCTCTATCATGACCTGTTCGGGTGATTCTGCAGTCGGTGCCAGCTGTGATTGTGGAGTTGACGTAGGCCCAGGAGCATCGCTGGGTGATAACAGTCCATCTGAAGGACTCTCAGTGGGGCTTAAAAACTCCACGCGTCTCCCTTTGGTAGGGCTGCGGAGAAGGCTAACAATGGAGCACCTCTCCAAACGAGACCTTGTTTTCACTGGCTCTGTTTTACTTTCATCTGACCCCTCCTCTTTTTCTCCCTCTTCCTTTTCAGACTCCTTCCTGTTTCTCTGGAAGATCAAGGACCTAGTGAGGATGCTCTCACGCTCAGGTTTTGTCCACTTAGGTTTGGAGTCCTCCTTCTTGGCGTCTGTGTCTTGGCTCTTGGAAACTGAACTGGGAGCAAGATCCAAAATGAATTCCCTCCTTCTCCTCAAACCACACTGGAACTCCTCCGGATCAAAGGGTTTCTCTAAAAGGTCTTCTCTGATGGCTGGTAGGACAAACGGAGGGGCTTTCGGGCGATGATGGGTGTGTTTGCGTTGGGGAAGATTGAACGGCTTTGCTAGCCTTTTCACATTTACAATGAAGTCATCTGGGTCGATTTCTCCCGATGTATCCAGGTTGGTCTTCCTCAAAGATGAGCCGAGCTTAGGTTTTGGTTCTGAAATCAACTGCTTCTTCTTTATAGGACGTTGCAGATCCAGATCAAGCCAGCTAGATGGAGAGTCCCTGTCCAGGGAGGAGCTTCCAGGTGCAGAAGGGATTTTTGGAAGGAGGAAGGGTTTGGGGATAAATTCCTTTTTTCTTGTGGCTGGATCTGTAGATTTGCTGGAGGGAGATGGGGATTTCTCACTGACTGAGATATTCTCTTTGGTTGAGGCATCAGGAGGCAAGGTCTTTTCCTTGAATGATGATGGTGAAGCCGTATTCTTTTCATTAGTTGAGGAAGGCAAAGTGGAGGTTGTCTTATTGGTTGAGTCTGATGGAGTTTTCTTTTCTTTGGATGAAGAAAGTGAAGTTATATTCCCTCCATTGGTAGAGAGTAACGGGAACGAAGGTGTATCATTGGAGACTGGTGAATCGGTTGTGGCTGGAGGTGGAGCGTTTTCTTTAGTTGAAGATTTTTTATTGGTTGAGGTTGGCAAAGTTGATGCTGTCTCAATGGTTGAGGCTGGCGGAGGTGTAGTCTCTTTATTAGTTGAATCTGGGGGAGTTTTAGATGCGTCGTTAGTTAAGACTAATGGAGGTGTGGTCTTATAATCACCTGAGCCTAATAAAGTGGAGGTCGATTTAATGGTTGAAGTTGGAGAAGGTGTGGTCTTTTCATTTGTTGAGCCTAAAAATGTGGAGGTTATCGCCATGGTTGATTCTGGTAGAGGTGTGGTCTTTTCTTTAGCTGATGTTGTTGGAGGTGTGCTGTTTTCAATAGTTTTGACAAGTAATGTGGAGATTGTCTCATTAGTTGGGGCTGGTGGAGACTTTGCCTTTTCATTGGTTGTTGCTAGTGGATGTATGGTCTTTTCATCATTTGTCTTTCTTTCAGCTGAGTCTGATGGAGGTGTTATCTTTACATTAGTTGAGGCTGGTAAACTGGATATGATCTCAGTTGAGGCTGTTGGAAGTGTGGCTCTTGGAGGTGTGGTTTTCTCATTAGCTGAGTCTGATGGAGGTGCTATCTTTACATCAGTTGAGGCTGGTAAACTGGAGATCTCATTAGTTGAGGCTGGTGGAAGTGTGGCTTTTGAAGGTGTGGTTATCTCATCGATTGAGTCTGATGGAGTTGTGTTCTTTCCATTAGTTGAGGCTGGTGGGGGTTTGATCATGTCGTCAGTGGAGCCTAATGAAGCAGAGATTGTCTCAAGGGTTGATGCTAGTGGAGGGATTGTCGTTTCAGGCAAAGTGGAGGTTGTCTTATTGGTGGAGGCTTGTGGAGATGTGGTATTTTCATTAGTTGTGCTTTTATTAGCCAATTCTGATGGAGTTGTGTTCCTATCATTAGTTGACGCTGGTGGAGGTTTATCACTGGAGCCTAATGAAGCAGAGGTTGTCTCAAGGGTTGATGCTAGTGGAGGCATAGTCTTTTCATTAGTTGAGGCAGGCAAAGTGGAGGTTGTCTCATTGGTTGAGGCTTGTGGAGATGTGGTATTTTCATTAGTTGTGCTTTTATTAGCTGAGTCTGATGGAGGTGTTGCCTTTACATCAGTTGAGGCTGGTAAACTGGAGATCTCATTAGTTGATCCTGGTGGAAGTGTGGCTTTTGAAGGTGTGGTTATCTCATTGATTGAGTCTGATGGAGTTTTGTTCTTTTCATTAGACGAGGCTTGTGGAGATGTGGCATTTTCATTAGTTGTACTTTTATTAGCCAATTCTGATGGAGTTGTGTTCCTATCATCAGTTGAGGCAGGCAAAGTGGAGTTTGTCTCATTGGTTGAGGCTTGTGGTGTCTTTTCATTAGCAGGTAAAACTAAAGGTGTGCTCTTGTCATCACTTGAGGCTGGTAAACTGGAGACGGTCTCATTTGTTGATGCTGGTTTAGAGGTCATCTTTTCACCGGCCTGGCCAGACTGCTCGATAGATGCTTCATTGGCTGTGGATGACGATAAAGTGGGCCTCTTTTTCACAGAGCGCAGAGATAGATTCTCATTATTGGTTGGTTTAACAGGACAAGTATTATCAGACAACTGATCGTCTGTCTCTGCAGAATTTATGTCTCCATTTACTATGGATACAATCTCTGCACTTGCGATTTTACTCTTGGTTTTGTTTGTGTCTCGATCTTTAGCTTCAGTGCTGGTCTTTTGTTGTTGTTGTAAATCCCTTTCACTGGAAGCTTCTCGGCTCTCCGATTGGCCCTGTAGCCCGGGACTGCCTCTCTCCATAGGTGGAATATGAGGTGAAATTATAGTGTCCGCTTCATCGTTTTGTTTTTTTACCAGTGCAGGGTTCGGTGTTGCCAGTGCCCTACTTGTAGAAGCATCTCTATCCTTAGTCTTATTCAAATCAGTAGAAGAGTTTTTCTCTGTATTCTGCGTTTCTTTCCCCCGACTGGTTGCCGTAATTGTAGTGTCTTCTTGTTTAATCTCTTTGGCCTTCAAGGCTAAGCTGTCCTTTGATTTACCTTGTTTAGTTGTCTTCATTGTAATTTCACCTTCCAAATATTGCTCGGTTGGCTTTGATGTGTTGACTTCATTGCTGTAATTGTGTTTCTCAGCTGTTTTCAGTTGTTCTGTACTCTGATTGTCTTTTTCTTTACTCGTATGGTTTGTCTTTGATGGTCGTTGTCTCTCTGGGTCATTTTCAGGGGTATTTTTCGCTTTTTGCACACACATAGTGGTGTCTTTCTCAGGTAAGACCAACATATCTGTCTCACTCTCTCTGTTCCGCTTGGCATCTTTCCTATTGGCTGGCACCAAGAAGTCTTTAGAGTCCTCCGGGGACGGTGGTTTCTCTTCATTTGTCACAGATGGATCCAGTTTCCCTGACTCTATAAACAATGTGTTTACAATCGTGTCTCTGTTCTTCCGCCCCTCTCCTCTTGAGCTCTCTTGAACAGGCTGCTTTTTGTTGCTGTTTTTCTGTTGCTCTTCAGTTTTCGAGTCAATGCCTGTCCGCTCTACATTCACTTCATTCGAGCTGTTCTCAGTTTCAGAGACGGATGCCTTGTGAGCAGTCACTATCTGTGCTTCAAAGTCATTCCTACTCTCTCTCTCCTTCTTATCCAAGCTTTTCACTTCTTTGAGACCTTCTGTGTCCATATGTGGAGACTTTTGTAACCTCTTTGAGTCGGTGTCTTTCTCCAACTTTGGAGGAAATTTAGGCTCATCACCAGAAGGTCTACGCACGGTCTTTACAACGTCTCCCGCATCTATAAGAGGTTTTGTGGTTATATTGTTGTCCTTGACCTCCTGTTTACCTTGATCCTGGTTCTTGCTGGTGGGGCTGAGCGGTTCTTTGCTTCGTCGTTTTTTAGATCGCGAGCCTGTCCGGTTTGGAGATTTCACCGGCGGGCTCTCGTCAATAGGAGATGAAACCGTCGGTGCTTTATCTTTATTCCCAATGTCCGCGTCACCAGTGCTCTCAGGTTTGCTTTGTGTTGCATTGTGGGATTTGGAGTCTGTTTGATCTATGGGTCTGGTATTTGCTGTAGATTTTTCAAAACTTCCAGAACAAGATGCTTCAGTACGATTAGCTGTTTTTAAAAGTCCTTCGCTCAATGCATGACCAGACGACAATGGTAAGTTCTCCTCTCCCCTCTGTCCTGCAGAGAAATTCATTGCTCTCTCTTTAACTGTTTGTTTCGGAGGTGCAGAACTGGATCTCGTTCCGGCATCTTTGAGTCTTTGAGCCACATTTCGAGCCGGAGAAATATCCAGATGACGCAGGTTTGTGGAGCTGCTGACAGCTTTGGTCGCTCCTCTTTCAAACAGACTGATTTTGTCTGCGATTCGTCCCTTTTGATGACCGGACTTCACATTAGTGCCGTCCACTCTGTCCTCTGGACATCTGTAAAATAAACAATAAAGGTCAAAAGGGCAAAAAAGGTTCATGTTCTTTTGATACTTTCTATAATGTTTACTTTATTCATATTAGCATCCACTCCCTTCATTAATTGTCTTTCTTTCCGCGTTCTCTATCCTTTGTTCTTTATATCTTCGAAGCAAACCACAAACTGAATGACTTCCCGTTTTTCAGCAAATTTGCATATTCGCTTTTATAGAAAGTGACTAACAAAAACACGTGCTGCAAGACATTATTTCAAAAGTTGCAAAGATTATTAGGTTCACTTTTCAGTCTCTTACTTTGAAAGTGAATGAGTTTGCTTTAAAAAAAGCATAAAAATGTATAATGAAGTCATTCATGTGACTCTTAGAAGTCTAAAGTGTTGTGGTAGATTTGTGTAAGGATGTGATTTGCGATCTGCAACAGAGAGAGAGACTAAATTATTAGTAAATAACAGTAAATCAGTAATAAATAGAACCATAAGTTGGTCCGTTCCTCACCCAAAACTGTCAAATGCAGGAGTAACGTGCACTGCTGTTATGATATTGAAAATAGATCTTTTGTTTTCAGCAAAATAAGTGAATCATAAAGGTTTTGGAATGACGTGAGGGTGAGTAATTACATTTATTTTAAATTTTTAGGTGAATGTTCTTTTAGGAGTAGGAAAGCACAACACTGACATCTAGAAAAACTGGCATTTAACTATGCAAGCACTTAATTGTTGTGAAAATGTCTCTTTTAAATGCAGAAAGCTCAGGAACATTAACCAACTGGAATTACAAGAACCTGATGACGACGAGCACATATTTCACAACATGACGCTTGGAGTTTTATCCTGATCATCTCTGAGAAAGTTTTCCCACGTTTAGTTCAAGTTTCATTTTAAACATAGACTGATAACACTTTACAATGAGGTTCATTAGCATGAACTGCACGTATACAGCATTTATTAATCCTTCTTAATGTTAATTTCAACATTTACTAATACTTTATTAAAATATTGCTAACATCAATGCACTGTGTGAACTAACATGAACAAACAATGAGATTTATTTGTATTATAACTAGCATTAAAAAAGATGAACAAATAAAGTGACAAATGTATTGCTCATGGTTAGTTAATACATTAGCAAATGTTAATTATCGTTAACGTTTGAGTGTTCACAGATCAAATAAACACCAAAGGGCTTTCAAAAGTATAAAGTGTTTGTTAGTTATTTCTGTAGCACATGAGCAAAACAAACAGGTTAAACGGGTCCATTTACCTTGCTTTCTCATCAGATCTCGGCCATTTAGGATCCGTGGAGCTTCTAAACGTCCCATGAGGATCTTCATTTGAAACCACCAGCTTTTTAGCAAAGATCTTCTCGCTGTGAGACACTTTGATACTCCTGCGTTTGGATTCAGCGCTCTCGGTCATTCTCACCACCGGTTCCTCGTCCATGATGTCTGATTCAGTGGCCGGTGACCTCGGGGAATCAGTCTTGTCCTCGCTCAGGTGTGTTTCCACCCATTCTGCTCGGACACAATCCTCGCGACTACCTGAGTTGGCCGCTTCTGCTCCGGAGCATTCCTGAACGCCGCTTTCCGCCTCCTCAAAAGCTGAGTCAGCACATGCCGGCTGTGGGCTAGTTGCCAAACTGGTTGCTACAGGACTGTCAGGCTGAGGACTGGTTGGTGATTTAGTCTGAGCCCCGCCCACATCTCCATGAGAGCCCCGCCTCCTCCTTCCAGATCTCCTGCGTCCCATTTGCTCTGTGTTATCTTGATCAGAGAAGTCAGGTGTTGATCTGCTTCTGCTACTCTCAAACGAGTGACTACGTTTGCTTCTTTTTACAAAGGTCTTGTCGTTTTCACTTCTTCTTTGCTCTCGGCATGCCTGGGTTCTCGGATGTTGGGCATTCCGGCTTTCCTCAGCTGGAGCGGGTTCATCTACTGCAGGACTGTTTCTCTCATGTGCACCAGCAGCAGTTCCTCTGTTGTCCTCATCAGACGCCTCCTCTCGTTGTGTTTCGGAGTCGGGATCATCTCCGCTCAGAGCCGGGCCACTCCAACCCCACGCCAACCAGCTCCCGATGCGACTGAACACCCCTGGGCTGCGCTCCTGTGGACTCTCAGCCTACAAACACACAACAATCATCAGGGATTGATCTGTATCACACTTAAAGGAGTAGTTCCCTTTTGAAAAAACTTTTGCTGATAATTTACTCACCCCCATGTCATCCAAGATGTCCATGTCTTTCTTTCTTCAGTCGAAAAGAAATTAAGGTTTTTGATGAAAACATTCCAGGATTTTTCTCCATATAATGGACTTCAATGGGGTCCAAACGGTTCAAGGTCCAAAAAACACTTTCAGTGCAAACTGTTCAAGCCCTTTGAACAGTTTGCACTGAAACTGTCTTTTGGACCTTGAACCGTTTTTTGGACCCCATTGAAGTCCATTATATGGAGAAAATCCTGGAATGTTTTCATCAAAATCCTTAATTTCTTTTCGACTGAAGAAAGAAAGACATGGACATCTTGGATGACATGGGGGTGAGTAAATTATCAGCAAACGTTTTTTCAAAAGTGAACTACTCCTTTAATGTTATTTTAAGACTTCACTAGAACAGGTTTTCCTGCTTGAATGTTGATTATTCTCCTCATATTCTCCATTGTTGCGGCTCCTCTCTTCCCAGTCTGTCAGTAACGCTCTGTTTACTTCCGGTCTCTATGAAGCCCCTCCTTTTTAAGGCACACTGCGCTCTGATTGGTTGGCTAGATCGGTGTGTTGTGATTGGTCGAGCGTTTCAAGCATAATTGGAAAATGTCCCACACCTTAATTTCAGTTTCAACACACTACTAACTAACTCAACTAGACCCCGCCCCTTTATTCTGCGCATAGATTATTATAATGAGGAATATTGTGACGTGTTCGGAAGAAACTCAAGACTACAATGAGGCGTTTCAGGGAGACACTCGTATAGAGAAGAACTGCCTTCTCTTACACCTAATGCTTGAATCAAATGTCAAAACAACACATTATGAAGGTTTATAACAGTAGCCTAAAAATAACCATCACTGCCATCAAAGATTCATTTTACACTTTTTGAATTTATTGTTAGCGAATATTTTAGATTTAGTATGGACAGTTCATGAATTTTTGTCTAATAAACTAAAAGTGTGCCAGGGATTATTTCTCTCTCTCCATAGAAGTGCAGTCAGTCTGAGAGAACATTTAGACACGTTCCCCAGCAAACAGCGAACGTTCTGCCGAGGTTCTCTCTCAGTTATAAACAAACATTCTTCCGTTGACGTTAACAGAACGTTCGTTCAAAGTTACCTCTTTAATAATGCGCTCAGAACGTTAGAACAAAAACATCATTCATTTTATTTCAAAAAACGCTTTAGTTGGATGTTTATCTAACGTTTTTTTTAATGTTTTGACTTGTATCAGAACGTTCAGATTCAAAATTAACGTTTCCATAATGTTAGAGGAATGACGCAATTCTTCAACGTTCACACTTTTAACATTTTAAACATTTAAAAAACAGAGAACATTCAGAAGTAACGTTTTCTTAACGTAATGCCAACGTCACCAGTTAGAATAGCCTACTTGTGTCAGCGAACACGGATTATTAAAAATTAAGAAAAATATGAATAATAAAAGGAACAGGGAAAGTTTTCATATTCATCATTATATGTCATTAATCTCGCAAAACTCACTGTCCGGATCGTCGGCGCGCGCAACACCCAGAGAAGCGCGTCTTTCGTCCCGCCAGCGAGAGTCGTGAAATGATCCAGCCCTGCGACTCAACAAATCCAGATCAATAAAAGCGATCAGGAATGAACGTCCGGATCAATAAAAGAACTTTTGAGGATCGTTAATTATTAGTGGTCTGTTGCAGGACGCGCGCATGCAGCTCTACTAGTGACGTGCGCGCGATGAGAGAGAGACTGAGAGAGGATTGAGTTTCAGAGGATCAGATGAACCCAATCCAACACAATGAACAAGAGAACAGTCACACACTTCAGTTTTCCAACCTCCCAAAGTGAGTTTAACACATGCAGTGATGCTCGCTGCCGTCATGCTACTTTTTAATTTCATTTTATATTATAAACGTATTTAAAATATCATGATCATGCATGCTTATTTTTATTAGTAAAACACTTTGTGTGCAGCAAATTATCTGTAAACTGTTTAAAAAGTGACTTTAGGTTCTCTTCACTGGAAGAAACACCTCAGCTTTCTTCCAAGGTTAGTTATTGGTAACAAAACCTAGAGAGAACGTTCCTTGAGTGTCATTAAAATAACATTAGGGGAACCTTCCAATTTCCAATGAGACGTTATTTATAAGCACAATAATCTATATATTTAGGTCAAATCCATTTATTTTTAAACTACTTATATACTAGCAAAGTCCAATACTCACAGAGTTGAAAGTGTCAGAGATGAACGCTATCTGATGCTGGAGTCTCGCGTAAAGAAAGAGAAAGCTCAAACGTTTGCTCTAATTATTTACCTGCTTCTACACGCACGTCACACCCACACCTGTCCTGCTCGTGCACAGACCTGTTCACGATCCGAAGGCTTTCTGACCACGCAGTCAAGTGTGTAAACAATGAGGAACTCACCATGATCAGTGTTGAGTTGAGCGTTCACCTGTGAGGACCCATCGGTCGAGCTGTGCAGGAACAGGCCGAGAACAGAGGACACGACAGGTATATCGACTGTTGTGCAATGGCTTCAGTCTGACAAACACACACACACGCGCTGAATTATTCATGCAATCGAGGGCAACACACACACCTACGGTTAGACTCTGGCCTCTAACACGTTAATGAGCCGAGATAGTTCATGAAAACACATGAAGAGTCTTAGCGTTCTCTCACACAAACACACACACACACACGTCTGTGGAAACATGCTTTGACTGGATGTTGGTTTATGGGTTTAGTTTTACAACTAACCCGGGATAGTTATAACACACTCGTTTTGAATATAGGCTACTTCCACACATGCTAGCATGACGTAACTTGCCATATCAACACTATATTGAGAAGAAAATGCGCCAAAATTCAGAAATCTTTGGAAGATAACTGAACATTTATAGCAAAAGTAAATGTCTTATGTTCATTTTTCATCTCTGTTTTTTGTTTTTATTTACAATTAGACAAATCTGATATTATTTTAATCTTATATCTGTTATTTAACAATTGAGATGCTTCGCTAACCAGAAGTAGACACTATGACTAGAATTAATGCTGCAGGAACGGCTGTTTAACTCAATGCATACGTGTACAGTTGAAGAGAGGAACATTTATGCAAGCGTATAATATCTTAGTTTCCTTAGTTTGACTCAACTGTATGGCTGAAGCCGCTCACTCTGGTCTCTGGGAGTGTTTTGTAATGCCTGCCGTGACTCACTTTAACCGCACATATTCAGTTCCTGCTCTCGGCAATGGAATCCAGATGGCATTCTCCATGTGTAACCAGCAAACACTGCCATCCTGAGCTGCAGAAAACACTGAAGTATGAAACAGAGAATACCCTAGCAACCACATAGTGTCACCCTAGCAAGCACCTCAAATACCCTAGCAAACTGCAAAGCAACACCCTAGCAACCACCTCAAGTAGCCTAGCAAACCGCATAGCATCACTCTAGCAACCACCTCAAGCACCCTAGCAACCACCTCAGTACCCTAGCAAACCGCATAGCATCACCCTAGCAACCACCTCAAGTACCCTGGCAAACCGCATAGCAACACCCTAGCGAGCACCTCAAGTACTCTAGCAAACCGCATAGCATCACCCTAGCAACCACCTCAAGTACCCTAGCAAACCGCATAGCAACACCCTAGCGAGCACCTCAAGTAGCCTAGCAAACTGCAAAGCAACAACCTCAACAAGTAGCCTAGCAAACCGCATAACATCACTCTAGCAACCACCTCAAGTACCCTAGCAACCACCTCAAGTACCCTAGCAAACCGCATAGCATCACCCTAGCAAGCAACCACCTCAAATACCCTAGCAACCGCAAAGCAACACCCTAGCAACCACCCTGAGTACCATGGCAACTGTATATCAACACCCTTGCAACCACCAAGAATACCCAAGCAACCGTGCAGCACCAACTTAGTAACCACCCCAAGTTTTTAAAACTACTATAATAAAAATAAAACTATTTCATACTTTAAACCTTCAAACTTCAATTATAAAACTACTTCCAACTTAAAAAAAAATGTCTGGCTAAACTTTCTGAGTAAGATTTGTATCTGTAGGTTTGTTTGTTTGGTATTTTGTATGTTTCTTTAAGCAATAATAAAAACAACAACTTTTCAAGCCATCTTAAACCCCGCTTCCACGTGCAGATCATCCACGTCAATTCATTTAAACGGAAGTTTTCTTTAATCTGAGTCGTCCTGTGTCCAATCAGAGCAGCGTGTGTGATCTCTCCTCACACACCGAGTGTGTGTCCTGTACACTGCAGGGTGAGCAGAGCGCCTCCTGCTGGAGGAACAGCAGCATCACAGGTTTTGGTGTTTGTGTGGAAGCTTCATGTCAAGCGAAAAGAAATATGGTGTTATTTAATATACTATTACATTATTTAGTAACATTTAAATAAGCGTTTATTTTTTATTTTAGTTTTGTCATTTATTATTGTTTTATTAATATTTATATTTAGCTGTGTTTTGATAGTATTTAATAACGACAAGACATTTCAAAGCTATAGCCTAATGACATCATATCCGGGACATAAGTCAGTAAATTCGAGTAAAATCACAGGCTTCGTTTATCCCGTGCAAATGCGCCACACGAAATTCAGGTGTGGGTGGGTAATTTCAAATTGACACGTGGTCCCCAGGTAATACTAATCCCGTGCGAATAGGGCTGATGAGAAAAGAAACGAGAAGAGATCAAACCATTTCAGAGACTACGGACAGCAGATAGACGGAAAACAAGTGGGCAGAGGACATCTAAGAAATGCACAAAGACTGCACATGAAGAGACAAATATATGCATACTCATTTGCATTAGATTGTTGTCTAGTGGATGCACACATGTGGATAAAGTGAAAAACCACACACACACACACTATATTGTCTATTGATTGTTTGAGTTATCATAACTAAAACAAAATGCTAACATCACTGATACACATTGTGGGGAAAAAAACACAACGAGGTGTTGACAAAAACAAATTCATTATAGAGACTTGGCTATTGTCTATACTGGTTTACTTTGGGATGTTGCCTTTAAAACTGCTGTTTGTGTACATGCATCATTCTTATTATCGCCAGTGCGTTATGTTATGTTGTATGTGTTCCATTTTGAAACGTCAGGTGGAAGATAATTATACAATCAATATTGGACATTCCCGTTGGATGTGATGGTTCTTGATTACCTCTCTCAAACCCAAAAAAATTTCTTAACACAAACTATGATAAGTCTGCTCAAGTGAAGTAGAGCTGTAACCAGTGTGCATGAGATGTCATTCCTTTGACGGGTAAGATTCTCCGCTGGCCATAGGGGGTGCCACCGCCCACCAGGAAAGGGAGGTGTTATTTAGGAAAAGGGAGTGGATGTGATGCTACTTTTGGGCCAAGATGCAGTAAACAGCATTTCAGTACAGTAATAGCAAACATCCTTGCTCCTTCTCAATTGTCTGGTAATATTCTATTCACAAAATACAACCAATAGTATGGTAAAATTAAGACTTACTTGTGAAAAGCACTCTTTTCGATGGTCCGGCAATTAGAACAGGAAAATGCTCCACAGTGCTCTGGGAGTTTCCATGTCTCCATTACGAACTTACACGTTTCAACATAAATGGAGTAAATAAGGGGAAAATAATAAAAGGAGTTTATTTAAAGGAATAAATTAGTATCCAGATTGCCTTATCAAATCACATTAAATCATAAACCACCATTTAAATCATAAACAACAAATCATATTATGCAATTAAAGACCATAAATAACACAGCACCAACATTTACAAATTATACATTTTATTTATTTAATTATTTATTTTCAGAAATCAGAATAGTAAAAAAGTATGCCAGACAGCTGAGCTAGTGCGTTTGAAGAAGTGAGGTTTGGTCCGCCTGAATATCTCCTCCAGCTTAGGTGGATCGGGCTTTCCAAAATATGAATGGAGATCCAGTGGGTTGTAATAGTGCTTCATTAAAGATGGCTGCTACGCAATACCTGCACACACCACAATCGCTTTAAAATAACACAGAAACATGCTGCAGAAAAAGGCAAAACTAAGCAGAAGCATTTAAACGATACTCAACGTTACTTAGTAATAGCTTTGATCCTGAATCGCTACATTAGATTTCTCAGCAACAAGGGGGTCCGGGTCACATTGCTGTTTTTGAAACACCCCTCTACTATGCCTTTGGTGTGAGAGACCCGGGTTCGAATCCACTGTGAGACACCAATGTGTGCCTGAGCAAGACACTTAACCCCTAGTTGCTCCAGACGCGTGCAACCTCTGACATGTATAGCAATTATAAATCGCTCTGGAGAAATAGTGTCAGCTAAATGAATAAATGTAAACATACTATAAGAAAGATGCTGCTCAGACCAAGGTTATTATAGTTTTGCATTTTTAAATTAGTTTTTATTTTAATCTAATTTTCAAATTCCCTATAAATTTTAGTTCGGGTCAGTTTCACTAATGGCTAAGTTTTTATTTTATGAACATTTCTATTTAGTTTTTATATATTTAGTAATTACAGTTTAGAGTTAACAGCACTTTCAGTTAAAGACATATTTCAGTAAAGTTTAATGTTTGCAGTTTACAGTTACAGGTTTGCACCAAAGAACCAAACTAATGCGACTTAAGAAATTTACTCACTCATTAAAATCAAATCTCGTCAAAAATGGAGTATAAGAAAAAAAAAAATACATATGATTAGTCTTACGGTTATTTCTATAATTAATCCTTTAAAAATTATTCTTGTATTGATCCACTAACGCTTTTTTTCCCCATACTTTATATGCTTTGAAACCCAAAACCAAACTAGAGGTCATCTCATTGGGAACTATTCTGTGCTATTAACAATTTAGCTTTAGTACAAATA